GAGCAGGGAGCCCGATGCGGGACTCGATCCAGGGACTCCAGGATCATGACCTGAGCCGAAGGCAGTCGCTTAACCAACTGAGCCACCCAGGCGCCCTCACCCAGCTCCCCTTAATGGAGATGTGCTGTGAGTAATTTCCTGACCTTTTCCAGGATAGGGATATGGCTCCTAGAATGACAAAAGGAGATGCAAAAGAAAACAAAAGAACATCCAAAGAATTCCTCAGGCCAAGGTACAAAAATCATAGGACACAAAGGAAAATGCCAAATGGGGACATTAAGTAGCCCAATTTCCTAACCTAGAAAGAGCAGCATGGAAATTAAGGGTCACTGACTGTGTCGGATTTGGAAGGTACCTTCTGATTTTCTGATGTCCGCAGATGAGCCAGCCTGTGTTCTCTTATTTTTCCCCTCTCTGTATTGCTATCCCAGAAGGTAATTTCCAGGATGGATAGTTAATCACTACATGACAGATGATTCTTTAAGACTAAACTACAAACCAAAACACAAAGTCTTATTCCCGAATGTTAAAAAATTTTTTAACTGATGTATAATTGACATTCCCAAACCTTTCTCTCTTTAGCCACTCTCCACATGCTAATTTTAGGAGGTTCTGTTCTATAAGGTGTGAAAGCAAATAAAGTATCCTTGATCTCCAGACAATGTATTCATTATGATTGAACATTTCTGTTTTCTCTGCAGCAAAAAGAAAAAAAAGGATGATTCATAAGGAATCTTTCTAAAGATTATTTAAGTCTTCTACTAAAAAAAAAAAAACCCCATAGTAATTCAATTAATTAACATTAAATGCTTGCTTTGGGGGTGCCTGGGTGGCTCAGCCATTTGAGTGTCTGCCTTCGGCTCTGGTCATGATCTCAGGGTCCTGGGATCGAGCCCCATGTCAGGCTCTCTGCTCAGCAGGGAGTCTGCTTCTCCCTCTCCCACTGCCTCTGTGATCTCTCACTCTCTCTCAAATAAGTAAAATCTTAAAAAAAAAAATGCTTGCTGTGGATTAGTCACTGTTGTAAATACTTAAGATACAGCCCCTGTCCCCAGAATTCACAGTTCAAAAGCCTCCTCATTCTCTCTCTCTCACACACACACACTTCTGAGCATGCTTCTATTCTGTTGATCATGTGGTTAAAATGACTGGACTCAAAAGTTTTAATGTTAATATTTTATAGAGATTCTCCTCCCTTTGCACACACATGAAAATCTTGTGCTATCTTTTTCTTCTCAACCTTACATTTATCAATTTATCAGGATACAGATTCTTATTTCAGTACTGAGAGGTTGATGGTCTCCACCTTGAAAACCATGATCTCCTTGTCAACACACATTTCTAACAAGTGAATCTTTGGAAATGCTTCACAGTTCAAACGAGACTATCATGTTAACTATTACCAGCAGCACCTGAAAGGAAAAGAGGTTATTTCAAATTTTATTTATTTATTTATTTATTTTTAAAGATCTTATTTATTTGACAGAGAGAAAGACAGCCAGAGAGGGAACACAAGCAGGGGGAGTGGGAGAGGGAGAAGCAGGCTTCCTGCAGAGCAGGGAGCCTGATGCGGGGCTCGATCCCAGGACCCTGGGATCATGACCTGAGCCAAAGGCAGATGCTTAACGACTGAGCCACCCAGAGCCAAAGGCAGATGCTTAACGACTGAGCCACCCAGGCGCCCCGAGGCTATTTCAAATTTTAAAATGCTTTCCTAATCCATTAAGACTACAGAGAACAAGCTAAGTTTTATTTTTGTTTTCAAGCAGTTGAAAATAAGTTTGAAAAAAACTCAAAGAATTCTAAATAGTTCTAATAATTCTGAAAACATTTCAACAATTCTAAAATACCCGAAAAAAGTTATTCTTTCAAGTAAGAACATAGAAATAATCAAATCTTCGATCTATAGTGAATAACCTAAAAGCTGCATATGCAAATGTCTGCGGTAACTGTAAGAATGAAAATCTAGTGTTGAGTCCGTCTTTACTTTTTCTCATTCTTTTTTGACAAGTGGAGGGGGTCATCTCTGAGTGACACAGGGAAATCTGATCCCTCTCCAGAAAGACTGCAAATTCATCATAAAGGTATCAAAGTTTGTAGTCAAGAGTCAAGTATTTTCTGAAATGTTTAATAATTCAATGAATCCGAATATCCGAAGAGCACCTTTACCATTAGGGTTAGTTAAAGACCACAGAGATTAGAAAACACATTACCCATCTCAGAGGTGGGTCTTTCCATGTTAAAAGTCCCTTAATGACCTTTACCATTTCTCCCTCCCTCCCGCGCTCTCTCTCTTTTAATAAGGTTGAGCAAATGGGACTTCATTTTATCTGATTGCCACAGACAAGTGAGATTAATTATTCATGCTCACACTCCCCCCCTCTTGTTAAGACCATGCATTAGACTAATTTTTCTCTTTATTGCCCTAGTTGGGTGAGTCTCAACCCATGGCCACTTGACTCCCTCTCAGAGGTGTATGGATATGCTGGAAAGAAGGCAAATACTATCCAGAGCTAAAATCTCAGAGAAAATGTTCTGCACTAATGTGACCGCCAAATCAATACATATTGCTGGGGATTTTTCCCTTTAGGTACCAAGTGTATGCTACAAAAGAGCCTACATAAGTGATTACAGAGCAAAGTTTTATTTTAAGAATGATTTCAAGTGACAAGGTTAAGACCGGCATCTACTTTCCAGAGAGAACTACAGGAGATGCGTGTGCGGTCAGAGGACACTGGGTGGTGTGTCTTGCTCTTTGGCTTCCAGGTAGAGATCTACTGAGAGAGCACCTGATGGAAACAAGCATTGTTTAAAAAGAACTTCAGCAGAAAGTTCCTTTTTTTTTTTTTTTTTCTTAGAAACCTTAAAGTATTTCCATAAATCCTAGTCTTAGAATCCAAACTTTCAATTTTGGCAGCTGTTCAGATTTCTTTGAAATCTTTTTCTTAAACAACTTTTTTTTTTCCTGATTTCAAGCGTAATAGATCTTGTAACAAATTCTAACAGAATGACATAATAAGAAGTGGTAACCTACTGTAGATCTCAGAAATAACCACCCTTTAGCAGTTCAGTGTATATACGGCTAGACGTAGGTCTGCCTTGTCTGTTTCTCTGTGTGTATAAAACTGTTTTTTTCCTCTGAAGGGGATTATATTGTTTTACAACTTGTTTTTCCTAAACAACATGAGAGTCCTTTTCCTCATTGGTCTTTACAGATAGATCTTATTCTTTTTAATGGCTGCACAGAATTTCTCTATGGATATGTAATTTCATACTGATGGCTACTTGGGTTGTTTCTACTTTTTTAGACCAATAATGTAATTCGTTCAACAGCTAAGTCAACAAATATTTATTAATCATCATCTTTGCAGTAGGTACTGGGATGACCAGGGACGGCGGCTGACATGCAGAAGCCTCAGCCTGCTGCCAGCTGAAAGGGTCCACCTCTTCACCAGCTGCTGCACGGCCCCCAGCTGTCCTGGTCTCCATACATGGGACTTGCCTCCCTGAGGAGACCCACCTTACAGCCATGTCCCTGCATCTGGTGTTGTAATGGCAGGGGCGACAGGGTTACAATCAGGAAGGAGGTGGCAGCCCCAAGGCCAACATCTGGGATGCCCTGGTGCAGGTAGGCCCTGTACCTTCCAGGTGTGACCCAGAATATGGAGTGTGCCCAGGACTGGCTTTCCAACCAAAGCATGAAGGAAAGAGCTAAGAAACGGCTACTGTCCCTGCAGTGGGGTGAGGTCCTTCGCCCACCCAGTGAGAACTGAGTATCGCACTGCAAATGCTTCCTAAATCTGGGACTGCTATTACCTTCATAATGAAACAGGACCCAGTTGCATACAGAAATCACTATGAAGAGATTGTAGAGCCTTGCAGTCCCAGATTTTTGGTCATGTACTGATGAATGAAGAAAGGAGCTCCATTTCTGTTTTGATTTTAAACTTACCCAAACAGTAAGTCCTCCTCATACTCCTCTATCTGCCAAAGGCATCACACCAACAACCTGAGCAACTGGCTCACCTCCTCAGGACCCCAGCACTGCCTTTCCAAAGGAGTGAGAAGTGGTCAGAAGGCTTCCTTACAAGATGGTAGCATTTAAAAAAGCACAGTGGGGGCACCTGGGTAGCTCAGTCGGTTAAGCATCTGCCTTTGGCTCAGGTCATGATCTTAGGGTCCTGGGATCGAGTTCCGCATTGGGCTCCTGGCTCAACGGGGAGCCTGCTTCTCCCTCT